AATTAACTTCAGAAATGTTAGCTGATATAATGATATGCAATTAGAAGTACCTGATCAAGATATCAGCTATATGTGTTCTGTACTTCTGTTGCCTAAAATTTCCATGTCAAAAGATATGAGTGTTCATACTTTCATGTGATTTGCCTGTGCAGTCCATGACTGAGATGAAACAGATGGCTTTTATAGTGCAAATCATCTCTGAAATATGTATTGATCCCCAACTAACATCTCTGCAACATCTACGTCTGATGGATTTGCAATGGCTTGGAGTTGCTGTGAGCATATATTGGCACTAAAAGTGTAATATCTCTACGCCATTTAATTTAAGCATGAAGAGCATTCTTGTGTTTGAGGATGAAAGGCATCTAGGATCACTCTTAGCAATTTATATGGTCCCCTGGATTACGTTTCCTTAAACTGCACCATCATGATGTAACCACCCCCATCTTTGTACATATATTAGTTAATATTCTCCAATCACCGCGTAATTAAAATATGTTGGGTTTCCTCTTCTCCAAAAGTACTTTAGTTATTAGACCTTGGAATATGAGTAAAACTTGCAGAGAGCCTGCTGATCAGGTTAAAATATTCTGTGTGTAGATTTGTACTCCCTTCCATATACTGACTCAGTCCAAAGAAGGTTCTCTTAGTTTGTTTTTTATCCCAAAGAAAAAAATGCGGTTTTAAAAGATTGCTTTCATTTCAAGCAAAGTTTCTCTGAAGCCAAGTGGCAAGTGATTTTAGTAAGTTACCCCAAACGGTTATGGCAATAAATATTTAGCGGTATAGGTGAGCATTCCTAAATAGTAACGTTGGAAGAGATGTCAAGACTTGGACTCTCCCCTGACAATAGCACCTTTGAGATTGTACTCAAGACCATCTTGCAAAAAGGATCGGATTCTGCTATGCTTCATATGCTCCTGAATATAAAGGAAAAATGTGGAAGTATTAGTTCTTAAGATTAGTTATTCTAATTTAGCTTACTATTAGCTAAAACTATTAGTGTTCATGTGCATTTCGATACATCCATCTTCTATGATAAAATTTATCAACAAATAGGCACATTTATGGTGGGATGTATTTACTGCTATCGGATTGGTATACTTGTGAGCGATTAACTTAACTACTGTGAGGTTGTATGGTTTTCACATTAGAAGTAATTAAAACGTATAGCTTAATGTGGAATTTGCTGTGAAAGTGATTTTTCTTTTTTGAGGGGGATTGGGCTTGGGACATAGTATGCTGAACTTCTAGTTTTTATTCCGAGTGAACCATATTTTAGCAGCAATTGTGCAAACTAGTTTAGCTGTTTGTTAAATATTCTTATACTAAACGTTAGAAGAGTTGCTAGTACTTATTTCATTCTTTAAGTTTAGCTTGAATAATGTCTATATAATCCGGGGGCTGGGATTTGTCCATGTTTAAAATTCTTGCAATGCTTAATGATATCATTTCGTGCCACACAAAGTTTAGTTGCAATGCTTCATGCTATTTGCAATGCTTAATAGCTGTGGCCAGCTTATCTTTGCACGGCATTTTCACCTTAAAGACAAGAAAGTATAAGAGGCAGATCGAATTGGAGGTTATTCTTCATGTTAGTTCTTGGGCTATCAGTGCAGGCTACTCTAACTTTGAAGGAAAATTGGCAAAGTCCAATGGGACAATACATGTATACTTGAATAATGCTTGATATACTTTGAACACATCAAGCATTTGTTTGCACACCTAATTCTGACATACAAAGTAATAATAAATCTGCACTTCAAGATTAAAGTGAAACCAGTGTTGCTTTTGTATATCTGTTGGGGGTTAGACTAAGCAGTTTAGTCTGTTTTTGTTCCAGGTCACTTTTAAAGGATCATTTGACCACATGAATATTGAATCTACCAGGTACATTTGTTAATAACTTTTTTCTTTTGTACCACTGTAAAATATTGATCTATAAGTCTCCTTCATCACACCTGCAACTAAAATCCTTTATCAGCCATTGTACGTCTACTTGTAGTGGGTTAGTTGTAGTGGCAAGTGTTGGAAAACTGTTAAATCTGGATGCTATACTTTTTATTTGTTATCAGTGTCCAGAACCTGGAGATAATTGAGGCAATGCACACTAGCCTTTTGGGGACAAACAATAAGAGAAGCCTATTCCAAGTGCTTAAGACAACCAGAACATTTGGAGGTTATGCCAGCCCTGCCAGACAAATGATTTATTTTGCATTTTGTTGTTTAATTGCATGTTGGCCTCGCCTCTCAAATTGTGCACACATGGAAGCTCTTTAACTGAGTTTCCCTGCTTATGACATACTCTGATATTCCCATATTTCTTTAATAAAGCTAATTTTTATATCAGCATATATTTCTTAATCCTCCTATTCCTCCATGAGATATTTAACCACAGAGAGGTGAGAACACATAGCTACAGATTAGCGCTTATGCAAGCTCATGTGCAACATGAAAGAACTAACTTTCTCTATCATGCTGTTACAGTCCAGGAGTTCTTATGAAATGGAGAAAAGAACTCGAGAGCTATAAAGAACATAAATGGCAGAATAAAAGAGAGAGGGAGAAAGATGTAAGGGAATATCAAGAAGGATTTTATTAACAGCCTGCCTTATTACAATGAACTCAATATCTATATATACAGTCTTTAGCTAACAACTTGTTCAGCTAACTAACTGTCATAACCAACGGCCAAGTAACTGACTTCAACAACTGAACTACATCACATGTCTATTGCTATGAAGTATTTTGGAGCAAAATGTAAAAACTTATTATGCAGTTTCTTAATTTAATATTTCCTCCGTCTGTAAGATATAGTCCCATTTTCATTTCGGCCAAAATGACATGAGTAAATACTTTCTTTGACCGAGGGAGTAAAGCTGTAAAGGGCATTGTTAATTTTCGTATTGACAAAAACAGCGTATGGATATCGTATCTAATCAGCTTAATCATTGACAGTTTAGCATCTAATGATTCTTTTTGGGCATTAACCAGGCCATTCAGGACTTCTATCATCATCTGATGATGATGATGATGAAGACGGGTAGCACATACTCCTTGACCTTCTCTATCACTAGTAGCTCTGGGTTCGTATTATCATGCCTACCAAAAAAAATTGTTGGCATTTGATGATAGCTCGGTGTTAGTAATAACTGATGCAGATCTTGAGGGATATGATCCCCAGCTGAGGCCTATCCGAGTGATCTATAAGGGGCTTCACGTTTATGCATCAATTTGTATTTGAAAATTTTTGTTGTATTTCAGCTAGCACATATCTTCTACCAATATGTATATCTAGATATATATATATAGCAGCTGGAGTAAACAGTATTTTTGTTGTATTTCAGATATTTTTGTTGTATTTCAGCTAGCACATATTCTGCTCATCTATACAGTATATATATATAGCAGCTGGAGTACTGTATATATATCTGATGCTCATATATACTAGTATTAATTTCTACCAAACCACGACTTACTCCCAAGTTATATGCCACGTAGCATCACTTATGTGGTGTTAACATTAGCATCAATTACATGTTATGAAGCACGGATACTTCATTAGGGTGCCGTATTGGCGTACGGGAAACGTTCTTGTATAGTCGTATCCGATACTCTAGGATACCCGTACCGTACGTTCCCGGACCATATCTGCAATTTTTAAAAGTTTTCATTTTTTTTGGTAATTATTTTAAAATTTTGGATACTCGTATCATAACGGATACCTGTATCAACTTTTTTTTTTAAAAAAAAACTTCCAAAAAAACTTTTTAAAGAAACACTCAAATTTACATTAAAAAAATCTTAAAAATGAAAAAGTAAAAATAATTTTTACATGTGGTACACAACTAATGGGCCTATTCCTAATTCACCCATCCTCTATCCCTTATTCTAATTATCCCTAGAAATTAATAGCTTCAAGCCTTCAACGGAAATATGTGCTAGAACTTTTAAAATATTGTTTTCCATCCTTACTATTAATTTTGAGTACTTACACTTTTAATTTCAAAACTATAGTTGTTTGACTTATTTCTCATTTTAAATTAAAGAGATATAATATGAACTTATTTCTAAGTATCTTGAAAATGTAAAATGCTTCAATGCCATGAATGAGTAAACGTCACAGAATAATGTCTATTTTTTTAAAAAAAAAATGTACTTTTAATATTTATAAATGCACCCTTGTATCTTTTAATATTTATAAATACACCTCCATAACTTTTAACATTTATAAATATGGCCTCATATCCGTATCCTACTTCTTTTGGTTTTGTCGTATCCTCGTACCCGTTTTCGCATTTCCACGTACCCGTATCGGTGTTAGGGTCACTTAACTGTAGTTAATCGAGACACTTAATGGTCTTTATAGACTGTTTGAATTGGATAAAGTGGAGTAGAGACATTGAAGATAACTCAAATCTGACCAACCACAAATCTGCAATATATGTGAGGATTGTGTCAAGTGTCAACCTCTGAAATTTTGTTAATACTGATGAATATTAAGAGCCTAGTTGCTGACTTGCTTCTATTTTCCAGCCTAGTTACGTTGCTTCTATTTTCTAGTTCTCACTTTCTCAGCTGTCTTTCTGCTTTAAAATTTTTATAATCTAATTTCTAATTATTTTACTCACTATTTTACGTTTTTTTAGTTTCAAAGATACGGAGCATGTTTTTATTTACCACATACGCATATATTCAAATTAAATCCCATGTAGAGGTGGCAGTAGTTGGCAATTGGAGTGACACAGTTAAGTGGTGGTACTGTGGTAGGCATGGACCCAGGTCGGTCCACTCGCGGTTCCAGATCAAGACCGTGCAATCCTTGCCAATTTTTAGTGAAGATCAGGTCCAAGTGTCCAACCCAATTATTTACAGTTGCGGGACAGTTTCGGGTATTTCATCGGTCCGGACCAGGATCCGCAAATTTTTTTCCTCGACTGTTTTGGTAGTACTCAAATTGGTAAAATTGCAAATCTACACTCAAAATGTCAAATAAAGGAATGTATTAGGCCCTCATAACTTAAAATTGTTTTTACATGATACATTGCATGTCCCTGTTTAAATAATTAAAAATAATAAACTCACCTGTATTACTATATTGCCAACAGAAGTTAAAGCTAACCTTTGGTTGGGACTTGAAAAAGAAGGATATATATAGAATCCTAAGAGAAACAAAAAAAATGATTCTTCACATGTCTGTCAAAATTAAGGATGACACAACTACAACATAAGCAAGAAAGAAGAAAATAGCAATCTGGAGGAAGAACTTTGGGTTGTCCCTCATATTAGGTGATGTTACCGCCCTGCACAACAACACAATTAGGGTGAGCAGATTCTGTCAAAACCTTATATCTTCAAAGTAATAGGAGAATAAAATTATTTTGTTTTGTTTTTTCCAAATGGCTCTTAAAGAAAATTAGATACCTTGCAATGCGTTGTGAAAGCCTATGAAAAGGCAGGCTTTGAATGAACACAATACCCGGTCCAGTGAGAACTGCGGTTACGAGGTTATCACCCTGCACAATTCGGGTAACCAATTCCACCCTTTCAATGAAACTACTAATAAGCATTCTTGGTCAAGAACACATGCACACATGAGGAATTGAAGATATGTTGTGGATACGATGCAATCTTAGTTCAGAAATTTGACACCGAAATGTGTGACGAACAAGTCATAGAGTTCATGTATAACAACAGTTAGGGTACATTTGGACGGAGGGTTTTAGAGGGATATCAACTTATCAAGGGGAAGACTTTGAACGCGATAGTCTAAACCTTGATAAATAGAATACTTTTACAAACAAATAAAAGGTATGTTTTTTTTTAAAGACGAATAAAAGGTACGTTATGTTTTATAAAAACTTGAATACTCCCACTAAAGCATTCCCTACCAAAACATGCATCCAAACAGGGAAGCGTTCTTTTTTGGTGCAGCTGCTTTAGAGGCGTAGCACATGTTTATTTCTCCTGGAAAAAAGGTGATCAAATCTGACTTGTCAATTATTCAGTCTAATCTGACTCTTTCAAATTTACTCAGGTCAAGCCTTGGTCTAATTTGAATGTTTTTAATCTTTTGAAGTTTTCTTATCTGAAATCAGTTCTTGACTTCTCGTTTGAATCATGTTTATCTGATTAAAATTAAATCTACAATAAACAAAAGAAATAAGGTTCATAGAATAGCACCTTATTCTATATCTTCATCTTGATAAAAGAATGCTTCTAAAAATGAATAAAGGGTGATCGAAAGGTTTTAAATCGCATATTAAGTAGACTCTCTGCCCAAACAAACCCCAAAAGAGTGAAGATATTGGTGTGAAAAACAATATAAACTAGCAACGGGAAGGAATAAACAGAGACTAAACACTATGAAGGAAAAGGGAAATAAGACACTTAATTTATAACTTACCCCAAACACTATCCTCCTCATGGGTCCATTGTATTTGACTTGAACATTTACAGTTGAAGAGACTGCAGCAATACTTGAAATATCAACAGAAAGTACCTCACCAACTTCAAGTCTTTTCTGTACAACTTAAAAAGCACAAACAAAAGGTCAGACGAAAGGAATGAAAATATATGCGAAATGCGACAATTCCATTCTGCATAGGAGAAATGGTCCTGAAGATAAAGTATACACCGATTAGGCTAGAAATTACACCCAGTTGACAAATTTCATTTCATAATCATCTTGCTAATAATTTAAAATGAGTGAATAGTAGTTTAGAAATCTTAAAAATGTATTAAACTCTTCATAATTAACTAAAAGAAAACATTTCATAATTAACTTAAAAATGTACTAAACCCTAAACCCTAATCTTAAAAATGTATTAAACGGCCACAATAATGTTTCACTATAGTGTTAATGGTAGCAATAGTGCAACATGTACACCCGTTTGCACCTAAGAGTTTACATATCAGCTAATCATACAGAAGGGTATTTACCACCCAGCTATCTTTCTCCTACATATGGGCACAAAATACAGGCAATACAGCCCTATTTGGCAGCAAATAATGTTAGGAAATGGAAAAAATACTACTAGTAATAACACTACTTTGTACTATGTATTAGATGTCAAAATTACCATTTTTTGATCAACAGTATACCATCAAAGATAACGCAAAACATAGGCATAATCTTCGCCTAGTCTTTAATCTTTAAAATCAGAATGAAGTATAAACACGTTCTATATCCCTACACTTGGTTTTCCTTTTACATTTACTTTACAAAACATGAGTGGTGAGTCAATGTAAAATAATTTTGTACTTGGTTTACAGGTGAATGGAACTGTGAACTTTGGAAATTATAAAATTCACAATCACCCTTGTATTTGATTTGTAAAGAAAGTCATTACAAAAACTGTTTAGAGAGCTTACATGTGTTATACTACAGTTATAACAGTTGGTTCTTGCCATTTTTTAGTTCTTGTGTAACTCTCTTGAATATTATTCATTTCCTTATACGTATACATATACATCTACTGATAAAAGACGGTTCTTACAAGAAAAATAAGAGTAAAAGTATGTTTTTTATGAGAAAATATGAGTCAGCATGACATTATGGTGCAATATGATAGATATGAATATGATGAAAATATCTTTTTATGTATGAAAAGTACATTTGGAAGATGAAATCATAGTCACATGGTTCGCGGTACGATTCGATACGGGAACGAGGAACGGGAACGCGGTACGCTAGATCTAGCGTATCCGATACGAAGGGGGGTAGGTTCATTTCGGTACGCGTTCGGTACGATGTACCATATGTTCGGTACGTTGTACCTTATATTTTGGTACTATAATAAAACTATAAAACTGAATTATAGAATACAGATTTCAACATTGAACAAAAACAAATTTCATAACATGATTTCATAACATTAAGCAAAAGCAAAAACATTAATATTCAGAAACATTTCAAGCAAAACAGAAAAATAGTACTACAATCATTGATTTAAAGTTCAAATTCAAATAAAAAAGTACATGTCTAATCAACTCGAGGTCTCTTTCCTCTCCCCTTGTCCTCGTCTTCATCTTCAAGATTCTCTCAAGCCATGTCTTCGAGTCTTGAACTTGAGCCTTCTATGTATGTGCTCTCGGGATTGATGTCCCAATATTTGTGTGGACCGGCTTTATATGACTCTGAAAAGCGTGACTGGAGTCGAATGTTGGAGTGAATGAAGACCAATTTGTCGGCTCTTTTGCAATTCAACCGGTTTCTCTTCACACTGTGAATGTAAGAATATGTACTCCAATTTCTTTCGGTCGAAGAGCTGCTAATCGGTTGTGAAAGCACCTTCTTTGCTACTTCGGCTAATTCCGGTGTTTCGGCTCCATAGGTTGACCACCAATCAATTGCATCCATTGTCACAGAATCCGCTTGTGTTGCCACCATTGAATAGATCCCCTTCTTCATATGGAATGTAGCAAATTGCTCTCGTAATAGCCTTTCCTCTTCGGGACTTTCTGCAATTCTTTTGAAAGCTTCCATAACACCAACCACGACCTCTTTATCTTGATTCGGTGCTTTTCTTGCAATACCACCCGGAGCCAATTTTTCAAGATAGAATTTAATCATAAAACCTTGGGTTTAATGCAAACCCCAAACAGTGAAGTGGGATTGTCATCTTCTCCCATCTAGCTACTATTATTTTCTCAATATCCGGGTAATAGCAAGAATATACATTATCCACCATAATGTCCTTTATCTCCCCCAACATATTATCCATTCTTTCATATATTTCACCCATTTTTGGACCATCACCATCACAAAACTTGATAAGTAGAAAAATAGGCTTAGTAATTTTCAAAACATTCCTCACATCATCCCAAAACTCATCACTCTTAATGGTTTCAGCAACATTAGCACCATTAATTCTTGCATTTTCATCTCCAGTTCTCACCCATTCCCTCCAAGAATTGCAAAAAATAGTTGAGGCAAGAGCCTCTCTACAATCCATCACCCTTTTTAGCAAAATGTAATGCGATGCAAACCGGGTTTTTGCAACCTTTAGCAACTCTAACTTTGAGTTTTCACGAAAGATAGCTAAAGCATGGGTATGGTTAATAAAATACTTAACTATATCCTTGCCTTTTCTATACGTATTCCGTAACCATTGGAGTTCTTTTGCCATGTCTTTGAAAATTAAATTCAAAGTGTGTACGCAACATGGAGACCAAAAGATATGCTTGTGTACCTTCTCAATCTCTCGCCCGGCTGCCTTACAATTAGCTGCATTATCGGTGACAACTTGCAGCACATTACTTGGTCCAACCGTGTCAATACCTCCAAGAAGAAATTTAGAAATTTCTAGTCCAGATTTCTCAACCCCAGAAAAATCTTCCGCGTACATGAACATCGCACCACGGGAATTCACCGCTAAAACATTGATAAGTGGCCTATGCTTCACGTTAGACCACCCATCCGAGACAATTGACACCCCTTGAGTGTACCACGTGTCTTTCACCACCGTTAGATCCTTCTCAACGTCCCTAACGCATTCGTCGAGCAACACCGTTCTCGCCTTTTCACTAGAAGGAGGTTTGTATCCTTCCGGTGCCTTTTTGATAGCATTCACCATTTCAATAAATTGCGGGTTGCGTAAGACGTTGAATGGAATCCCATTTGCACACAAGCCCCTAATGATCTTTAAGTCAACTGCGTTTCTCTCCAATAGCCCAAAAGACTCTTCCAAACGTTTCTTTGATGACACATTTCTGGACAGCAGTGAATTCTTCAACGATTTTGCAACGTCACCAGCCTCAGCTTCTTTTACTTTGTTCCAAAGACTTTCATGCTTCTGCCTATCTTTGAGGAGTGCAGGACACCTTTTGATTTCTGCCTTTTTCCCTGCTGCAGGCCCAAAAAAATGAACATGAATTCTTGTATAAGAACTGGTGTACTTCCCCTTGCAGTGTTTGCAAACCCACTGCTTTGCACCTCCTGCGTTTTTACTTTCACCCGTGCCAAGGAAAGTAACTTCATCGAGCAGTGGTTTGGCTTTGGCATTTGCATCCTTAGTTTGCGTAGCAGGTACAGCAGCAGCTTGTTCACTTTCTTGAGTTTCTGGAAGAACATACTCTTCTGTGTCACTGTCCACTAAATTATAAGTGGCTGGAGACTCTGCTCTAGAAGATGAACCAGACCCAAAAACCATTTTAAGAATTTAGAGTATAAGTGAGAAGAGAATGGAGAGTAGAAAGCCAAGTGAGGAGTGCTGGAGTGCTGGACGATGAGAGTTGGAACAATTTCCACCCCATTATATAGGCTGGAGTGCTGGACGTAGAACAAAGTGAAGAGTAGAAGAGGAAGACTGAAGCGTGAATTCGTTCTGCAGAAATCGAAGAGAACGCGTCTGAAGTCTGAACGACGATTCAGAAACGGCGATTCAATTTTCGAAGCACAGTAAACGACGAGCCTGAACGACGCTCTGGTACAGAGTTCGCGATTTAGGGCGATCCCTTTTGGTGTTGCGATCGACATCAGGTACGTTTGCGCACGTCTTGTTTAGCGATGCGGAACGATCCGACCGGCGATTAGGATCGATTGGCCAAGCGATCCGACCTGCGATCCCACCTGCGTCTGGTACGCGTTCGTACCGCGTTTGGGTACGGGACGTTCAGATAGATCGCGGATGAAATAATGACTAACGTATTTATTTGTTGTAATGCACAAAAGTCAGGAAGGGGAGCCTTGGTGCACCGGTTAAGGTGTTGTTGTGCGACCAAGAGGTAACGGGTTTAAGTCTTGAAAGCGGGCTCTGGTCAACAATTCAACAATTGGTAGGGAAAGGCTTTCCCCTTGTACACCCCTTGTTTTGGGACCCTTCCCTGGACCCTCTCCTTGCGGGGATGCCTTCACGCACCGGGCTGCCTTTTTTATGCACAAAAGTCAGGGTTGTGGACGAGAACGGTATGCCCTATTGCCCTTTTTGTTAGGAAGTATAGAATATTTTAAATTGGAGTTGTAGAGCTGAGATGTTAGGATTTCTTAGCATTTTAAATGAGAATGGATTGGGACAAAGGGTGATGACGTGCCCATCATGCCAGATGGAGCCAAGATTGTGAACTCATGCTCAGGAGAAAATTTCCATATTGGGCAGTTGACCGTGATGAACGCAGGGCATCAAGCTAGAGCTGTAAGTGATGTTCATCCCGAGCTGAACGTAAGCCATTGTAATTTTAATTTGATACGACTTGTGTATGTGCTCATGGAATTTGATCATATACTCGTGCAAATGCCAGAGGGCTTCTAGGAAAATGAGATGCTAAAAAGTAAAGGGAAAACTATCAAATAAGCCCCCGTACTTTATAGAAAAAGTCGATTAGGCCCTCGGTACTTTTTTAACCCCCAATTAAATCCTCGAACTATTAAAAAACGTACAATAAGATTTTTAGTCGGTAAGTAACCGATTTCCCGGTTAAACTTAAACGTGGCATCCGGGCAATTTTTTCCTTCTTCCTTTTTCTTTTTCCTTTTCTTTCATTTTCTTTTCCCCTTTCTTTTTCTTTCTCTTTTCTTTTTCTCTCTTCTTCCAGACTGCATACACCGTTCTTTTTTCTCTTTCGCAGATCCGTTCGCAGCAGGACTTCTGAGACTTGCCACCAGCTCCAGAGACCCCGCCCACCATCGCCGGTGACAGTCGCCGCCGTTGCTGAAGTTCAAGCACATCTTCACCGTGGTCGCCGTTCCTCGTCAATCGCCATCATTTACACTTACAAGCTTCTCCGGCCTTCTAGCGCATCACCGTTGTCCTTTCTCTCACTGGCATATTTGTATCCACTGCCGCCGTCTCCTTTCTCTGAAGTGTTGAGAAGATGTCTCAGCAGCTTCGTTTCTCCGTTGCAGCCTTGCAGGTGCCTTGCAGGAAGGGGGCAGATGAAATAGCTGGAGAGCATTAAACCGGCGACAAGAGAAATAGGAAGAAGAATAAATCGGACGGGAAGGAAGAAAGGTATAAAGGAAGAAAGAAATACAGTATTTTGCAGGCGTGAGAGAAGAATAAATCGAACGGGAAGGATGAAAGCTAGAAAGGAAGAATGAATTCGAGAAATACAGAGTATTTTGCAGTCGTGGGAAGAAACGGAGAAGAAAGAGAAAGGGAGAAAGAAAGAAGGAAAGAAAAAGGGAAAAGAAAAAGAAAGAGGAAAAGGGTAAAATTTGCCATGCGGACGCCACATGTACATTTAAAAGGGAAACCAGTTACTTACCTAGTAAAAACTAAAAAGATTAATTGAACATTTTTTATACTTCGAGGATTCAATTGGGTGTTTCTAAAGTACGAGGGCCTAATTGAATTTTTTGATATAGTACGGGAGCTTATTTGATATTTTTCCCAAAAGTAAATGACTATCACCAACTTACAACATTGCAAATAAAAATACAAAAACATAGATGTACACAATTCCTGAATTTTTTAGAAAACCTATCAGTCAAGTGCAGGCTAAAATACACAAGCATACCAGAACCTCCACCAACTATAAAAGCAAGTCCTTGCCCTGATATTTTCTGCCTCAGGAATCCCTGCAAAAGCCCACAAAATAAAATGTTGTCTGTGATTATACTTGTTTGATCACATTACAGGGAAAAGTCGAGATATTCCATTTTATCACCTCTGCACTAGCAATCATGTTGCGTGCCCTTTGGTCAACTATATTGTTTACTTTCACATCATCAACTGAGCAAAGGAATGCATCTGGCTACATAATAATATCAGCACAATCATATTTTACTATTGCGGTTAGGAATGATGAACGGGAAATTCTCAACTACACATAGGAACAGGACACCCACATATTTCAATATTCTTTTTACCTGACACAATATTTCGCCGCCAAACGTTGCTAAGTCAATCTGCCAGATAACAAATGAGATCAGTAAAAGAAGAGCACAAATAGCATCATCATGAACCAAATAACATCAGCAACAGTTGTAACTAACTTGATTTACTGATACTTGGACGGTTACATCTACCTCCCCCGAGGCTGGATCATATTACCAAATGGTCCTATAGATTTTCTAAAACTACCAATCAGCTTGAGACCAGAGATTCTCTATGCAAAAGACATTGAAAAATGATAGGATATAATTAAATTAGTGGGAGGCTGGGAGCCTACATTATCCTCAGCATCTGTCTTGTGAATTCTTTTCAAGGGAGATCTTTATATACTTTAGCCAACAAAATGCACAAGAAACACCAAATTTGATCTGGAGATGCACATACTGTGTTGATATCATTAAACCCTAAAGCTTTTGAGTTGTTCATGGAAAAATCTGACTCATCATCAAGGGGCTTTTGATAACTTTCAGAAACCTCAAGCGGCATTTGGTAATTTGACCATACCTCGAAGGAGGTAGACGTAATTAATTATTGATACTTACCGGGAGGATTCTTGCTAGAGACGGTGCGGCAATGCCAACAAATCCGTCAGATGAACCTGTATTATGAAAAACTATGCTAGTTACACTCTTTCCAAAGAGCCATTGTGTTACCCCAGCTTCATTTTCAGGGATATATATGCTTTCCATAAGGACTGAACCAGACATATAGCACATGGAACCTGCAAACCATAACAAAATAATGATTTAGGGAAATATTAGGATAGAAAAAGTACTGGCCAAGGCAACCAGAAGATAATGTTACTATTCCTTCTAGTCGGATTATGAGCATTGTTGATATTTAACCATATCAAATGCTGTCTTAATGAACAGGAAAGCTATAACACAAGCATTACAAATTAAACCATGGAAGGCCATCTCACATTATGGTAACGTTTGTGCTTGCTTGTGCATGTGAGAAGTGATTTATTTTAGAGATTAAACCGAAGGTGCTTCATTGTAAAAACTTAGTAATGTTTGAAAATAAATGTGGTTTTGAAAAAATCACCACAATAAGACAGGAAGGTCCAATGTCACATTTTACAAAGCAACTATCAAAACAGAACTTAAATGAACACACCAAAATTTAATAGTCTCTTCTGGAAATGTAATATTAGTGTCCACTGTTGAGTACATGTGCCTTTATAAGAAATGAATTTGTGTTTGCACACATCATATTTTTCCTCATAATTAGTTTTGCCTTCTGTTTTCTTGTTAGGTGCACACAATTCATTTTATGGAAGAAACAAATTAATCCATATTGGGTCACACATCAATAGAGCTAAGAGGCAATTGCTTTCTTTAAATGGTTTTAGTGATGATTCATAATGAGGTTATGCTACTTGGTATTATAGATATGCTCATCTACACGAAATGGACCAAAGAAAATTTATAATGATACACTAATAATATTTCATAGCAAAATCATGTGTGGAGTGTACAGTCTATATACACAAAATCACAAATATGCAATCACATGAAATAAAATATATCCATACGAGGAATAATTATTTGCACTTTGATCTCATAACACTGTTTTCAGCATGCCACTAGATGGAAACTTAGTAGGGACCAAAAGGTTCTGAGGTGCAGCACTGCAGCATAATTCACGTTTAACAATATATTTATACCACTTGATCAAATGGTTTTAAATTTCCAACATTTTAAAAACCTATGTGCATGTCACCTACAGTACTACGTCAAAGAATGTTATCACAAACTAACCAGGTTTTGCAATAATCTTTTCCTGCGGCTTCAACATAATCTGAAATTTTGAATTGAAAATGGAAGAAACAATCAATCACATTGAACATGTAGATAGGAGCTGCATACTACTTAGAAAAGATCAAGACTCATTAAATACCTGAACTATCTGAGCTTCACCTCCCAGAATCTGAAAGGGTGTAACACAATCTTGTGGGCTCTACAATAGTACAAGTGTGAATTTTCAAATCAGCTCGTTTTGGAAAGAAAAACATGTCACGAGTGACAGTACATAATTAATATACCAGACTGCTGCTTATAGGGAAAAAAACAGGCTTGAGCAATATTAAAGCAATGACCATCATATTGATGCAAGACACAGATCTAGCTCCTTACTTTAAGAAAGTTTTCTGTGGGACTTGTGGGTAATGTGTATTCAAATGTGGAACGTGGATGTGTTATGGTTTGTAACAAATATAAGCAGCAAGTCATAAACAATTTCAGTTGACTTAATTCTAACAGACTCATAAACAGGTTACAGGAATAACAGGTTACAGCCTAAGACGATGAGTCAATCTAAGGAACCAGCCCTTAACAGCATCTTTAACTTACTTACATAAAGCAAACCTATTTTTGATATATCAAACAACTAAAACTCAAGAGATTTAATCCGTAATATTGGTTAACTGGGTTTTCTCTTAACAAATAAAATTAACAAACATCACAATGCAAGAAGCTCAGCTCTGGTTTTACCAACTTCAAGATGACAACTCGATCACTGAGCCGGATGATAAAATACAAATTGCATTACACTGCGCTTAAAAATAAAACCCAATCATTCCCCTTCCTATAGCTTAGCTACCTGTGTTTGTTCTTTAACTGTTTAGGGCATTGAAATTTGAATTGGATTCACCCACATATCCAGGAAGAGGGAGGGTACCTGATAGACAAAGGGTTGAAACGGCGTTGAAAAGGACGGAGCAGCCATGGGATATGAATTCTCTGGTGGAGAGAGATAGCTGATTCGGAAGATAGATCGAAGAACAGCGGATTAATTCTCCGGTGAAGACGCCATTAATTTTCGAGCTGTGCTGGATTTTGTTTTCGCGAGGGTTTTGGTTTTGTTACTCTTTTTCAGTGCTTGTTTTAATCCCGGGAGAGGAAAGCCGGAAACGCCCATCTTGTTCAGTTGAATTACTGATGAACTCGGCGCCTTGGTCATCTACTATGCAAAACCGCAAAGGGTAGTTATGTAACTTCAAAATCTGAAATTAACTTGTTTTGCCAGATCATGGTAGCATCGTCAGTGCATTGTTGTTCGGTTCGCTAGTTGGAGTACACGTCACGAAGTAATGACATGGCTTCTTATTATTGGTCAAAACCGTTGGGGGCGATTATTTCACTTGTCGGACCGGCCAACGGCAGTTCGATAATTGAATAAACAATAAAATATACCTACATTTTAATAAAAACTAGGTTAACCTAAGTGAACCTAGATTCACAGTAAAATAGTGTTTGAAAATAAATGAGGTGAACTCAGGTTAATGTAATAAATGTTTGGATGAAGGTACTATAGCTTATTTTATATTGAACGGGAATTTAACCTGCGAAACCCCCCACTTCGGAGGTTCTTCGATCAATATGTTTATAGGAACGGGAACTTAACAGGAACCGAACCGTTAACAATTAATACCTCATTTGTAGGAACCGAAGCGGGTTATAATGGTTCGGTTCCTGATTCTTATAAAAAAATATGTGTATGGAACCGTTAATGAACCGTTATTAAAAAAAATGAAAAATAAAATAATATTAGTAGTAGTACAACAACAACAACAACAACAACAACAACAATAATAATATAATAATAATAATAGCAATAATAACCACCACCACAACAATAATAATAATAAAAAACAATATAAGATATTTAACTAACAATTCTAATTTAATCAACGAAAACGAAGTAATAAATATTGTACATGAGGTTGATATAATGATGAGAACAGAAAAATAAAAATCAACGGGGTAAATCGTTACCCAGATAATCAATGATAAAAATACCGTTGTCCAAAGCCAAAAGGCTAAAACCAATTTTATTCCAAAATGATCAACAATGAATCCTAACAATAGGTTTAAATACTCATTTACTAATTCTCAAACTAGGAAACAAAATCCTAGAAATCCTAATCAACTCCAACTAGGAAACAAAATAATTAAGATCCTAATCAACTTCAAATAGGAAACAAATAGTAGGAAACAAATAATAGAAATCCTAATTAACTCCAAATAGGAAACAAATCAGGAAAATTAAAAAGAATAAATATTAATTAAACAGCCCGCAACCAGCCCACGAAGGTGGGCTCAAGCCCGTCCCGCCTTCAGTAAACCCACGGGGGCTTCTGCCCCTCTTCTTCCAAGCCTAGATTTTGCTTCATATCATATAATACATTAAACTCCTTTCTACAAATCAAGTTTTGTTCCGCCACATAAATTTTATAAATATAAAATAACCCAAATAACTTGTAGTTGATTGCACATATTTTACTTTACTATTTTCATGATATTTCTAATTATTAGATTCATTGTGAATCAATAGAATGCAATAATGTTTTTATATCTATACATGCGAACTCAGTGTATTTTTTAATGTTTTGGAAGACTTGAAGTAGACATCCTATTCTTGCTACTATGATGGCGAGTAACCTTCATCGCTCCCACACTACAATGATTAATATGTTTTATTTATTACATGAAAATTCAAATCATCTTTTGTTCTATTAAGTGTTCACAGTTCATTAGTTAAGTTTGAGCTTTGATGTTTGAACTTTGAAGTGATTAGAACTTCAAATAAAATTTTAATACTCGTGTTTTGAATTTTCGACGTGTTTATGTTGTTTGTAGAAAGTAAGTTATGTGTTAATTCTTAGATGAGAAAAAATTATATTCTAGGAACCGGTAAAAGGAAGAACCGAACCGTTTACTACCGGTTCGGTTCCATAATGGTTCTTGATTTTTTATATAGGAACCGAACCGATTTCATTAGTTAAAACTTTTATAACGGTTCCACTCATTTTGAGTAAGAACCGAACCGATCCCAGCCCTTATTAAACATTGTTCCAAAAAGGTGGAATCTCTCATCCGAGGAGCCCCACACCTTGAACCGACAAGATATGATGGCGGAGAAGTAAGTCACGATGACTCAGTCGAATCAATAGTGGTAGACCTTATATCTGTGCGCACCAGACGTCCAGCCCAACACATAGGAGCTACGTACAACCTCCACACGACCGCTGCGAGTTTCGATCCTTGGTCATTGTTCCAAATTCCCCACCACGGAACCAAGTGAACTACATGTTTGGGTTGATAATTGAATAAACATAAAAAAACATTCTCTTTGGGCTGCTCTATTACCAATTTCAGCTTTCCCATGTTTTTTGAAATATTCTCAAACAAGACCAGAACTTATCATTATTTTTGACCAAAATTGACGCCAATAATTTTACTTTTGCGCACTTTATAAAATTACTCATATATTGATAATTCATAACAATATGAGAAAATGAAAAGTGATAATTACACCGATTATCGTTTTTTTAAATAGTCTTATCTAACCGTAATCCAGATAATCTCTATATTATACATTTGGGTGTACGCATACAACCAGGTATTTTGTAATTCCCATCAGCTTTGAGCTCATTTAATGCGGAGTACTCTTTAACTACCTCTGTAACACCTTGCATACGATTGTCCAGCATCCACCCCAATTCTTCTCATTCTTCTTTTCGTTAATTCCTTAAATCATATGGAATATCTAAAATTGAAACCATCTCATTCAAAAATTCTATATTGACTCATAATATCAATGCACACCAACTATTGGAAAAATTCCAAAGTGAATGTTTTTTTGTACAATAAGTGAATGTTAAGTTCTTTTTGATGGAATATCTTATTATTTGTTGCACTTGTATAAAATTTATGCATAATTTTTTCATAATAGTTCTTGACATTTTGTTATAATTAGGTATCTCTACATCTAAAGTTTTATCAAATTGTAATTTTTTTTTGTTATGCATTGAATTTGATGTTAAAAGAACTTTTGAAATGGTTGAGATATGTTTTTCCAATAATTTAATTTTTTCCTATAAAAATTAGTAAATGTAACTAAATTTATTTGTTTAAACTGTAATATGTTTAATTATATTGTGTGTAATATTGGAATGAATACTTTGTTACACTAAAATGAGTATAATGTACTGTGTAAAATAAATGTGCATAGGTGTAAATTGTAAGGATGTTTTCTTTTGGACTGAAATTTGCTGATCTGGTCTTGTTTGGTCTGATCTGGTTAGGTCTGGCCTGGTAAATGTCTTGTCTCTGTGAATTTTATAACTACGGAAGTCTAGTCTGGTCTGGGACTGAAAACAGTCCAAAAGAAAAGATCCTAACTAGAATAAGGATTTATTAAATTGCTATATTTTTCATGGCAAAATCTACTGATAATTTAGGAAATGAATGATTATACTAAGTTGGGTTTTATGAATATAATTAGATTTGTGGATTTATGAAAATGAGTTTTGTATTATACTTACATGAGTATAACGCTAAAATAGATGAGCATTGACATCAAATTATAATATGAAAAAAAAATCAAATGAATATGTCGCAAAAAAACAAATACAACAATGTCCATAAGTCCATTGATATACATATGTTTTAAAATGAGCTCAAGTAGCAAATTATTTTTTTCATAAATTAGCAGATTCGGCCGCTACAGCTACTTCAGCCAGAACTTCATAAGTTTCAGCAGAGTCAACCTATTTCAGTGTTATCGAACGGGCTCTACTTATACTTTACATATAATATATTCACATTTTTTACTTTCATATTTTCTTTTACTTTAAAGAATAGTTGTTTTAAATAAACATATAAAATATACACATTTTTTTCTACCTTAACGTTCCATGCAGTTTTAAGGTTTTGTTTCCTTTACAAGATATGATAAGAAAAATATATGTAATATAATTTCACTTAGTCGTGCTTGTAGTGCCTATAAACTCAATCTACATATTGTCAAATTTTAAGCAATATACACATATATAAATGTAGCTTTACATTTAAACGAATGATGTCATTAAACATATGTCATTGAAGGGAGGGAGTTCATATGCAACTTTGTTGTGTGGTATGCATTGGTTAGTTCCAACGTCTCTTAAACTGTTATGCATGCAATATAAAATTCAACCATTAAATGTTTTGGTCAGCTAGATTTCTATGATTAAAAAGCATTCTTCATGCATGATTACTGTTGGTGTATTGTTTAACCTGTTCTGCCATTTTTTACTACAATGAGCACTTTATTTTATTGTATCTCAAATAAGAAGTAGCAATGTTAAAAAAAAAAAGTATGTGTTTTATTATTAGATCATGCAACTAGCACGGTTTAAGTATGTTTCTGATGAAAATGTTATTATTTGTTTGATTTTTTTGAACACTAATTGATGAAGTTGTTTTTATTTTTAAAAATGGATTTATTCATTGAATTATTAAACCTAAAAAGGTCAACTTACATAATTGTATTTTATCACATTTTTATGAAAAATACAGATGAGTTCTTGTCCTTGTAAGATAGCAAACGATGTGAAATTTAAAGTCTTCAAAGGAAACAGAACATTGAAATCTCAAAAGCTTCTGCCCTATTGGTGAAGAGTAACTTAAAAACATGCATTTGTTGTTGTTTTGAAAAACATATAGTTTTGTTGCACAACAAAATTCTTTATAGCGAATACACTTCCTTCTTTGGACAAAGGAAAGAACTTTGGGATTAGGTTTAACGGCATGGTTGCATGAATTTTGGTATCAAGTAAAGAAGAATTAAGAGGAAGTTGAATCTCTAAAAGACCTTGGCAGAAGGGTTCATATGCTAAAATAAATATACCTCTCATAATAAAAAATGCACTCAAAAAATTCTTCATGTGTGTCATGACTTGGAGAAATATATGCTCTAGTAGGCTTAGTAGCTCTAACCTTGACCGCCTATGTGTTCCTCATTTGGTTAATGTCTGTGAGAAAGGATCACATGTCAACCATTTTGGTATGAAAGATTTCTTTAGTGAATATAATGGAATTGCTAAATGAAAGTGTTGGTGAAGAAGACCTTGTTTGTGGCCATATTTATAATAAGAATGCCACTAATATGAGTC